GAAAAGGGAGAGCTAAAGAGAATCAACCAAGAACTCATTATAAAAGTGTTCTAAGGTGAGATTTCTATCCCAACACTTGTAGTAGACCTCCTTAACATCTTGAATCATGAAAAAGTTAGGATGAAAAAGGATTAGGAATGAAGAACTTAGAGGAAAGAAGAAAAAGAAGCAAGTTAGAATGTGTGAGAACCTGAATATACAAATTAAGTAAATAATTAAATAATAATAATTTTACAATCTCAAATATTTTGTCGGTGAATCCTAAAGTACAAATTAAATATTGTTGGAGGGTCATTTAATTAATTTTAAACCTAAAAAATTTATGGTGTAAATCTCTAATTTAGAGGTAAGATTTATTATTTAAAAAAGAAAAAGAAAAAAAAGAGGCAAGTTAGTAAGTATATTTTGATCTAATAATAGTTGTATTTTATTTAAATTAATGATGAGAGGAAATATAATAAAAGAAAAACAGGATATTAATTTAGAGTCTTTTAAGTTTAGATATATATAAAGCAACACTAGTTTTCCTAACAAAAACCCTAAACTCTCATATTATTCAACTAGCAGCCGTGAAGAGGAGATACGAGTAGCCTTTGGTGAAAATTGAAGAACTAGTTTGGTGCTTGAATAACTCCATCTCCAAGGTAGAAACCAATAGTCTGTGAATATAGTTATTTTGTATATATGTTTCTGTGCATTCATTGGAAGAAGAAGGAATGAAAGCTTAACTGATTAGGTGGCTTGAATATCTATCAGATTAATAGTTGTTCCACAGAATTACTTAGAACAATTTACAATTCCACAGAATTACTTAGAACAATTTACAATTCCACAGAATTACTTAGAACAATTTACAATTCCACAGAATTACTTAGAACAATTTACAATTCCACAGAATTACTTAGAACAATTTACAATTCCACAGAATTATTTATAAACGAGACACAAATGGTGAGTATGTATCTCATCATAGAACAATTTTGTGAAATAATTCTGTAGCTGTAGCTTTTCTTAGAATAAAAATTAACAACACTAGAAATATAATCAAGCAACTATTGAAAGTTTCCACAAACACCACTCATTTCCTCTCTTTCGTTGCACTCTGTTTTACCCCTCATGGAAGCAACACCAAATCCAGTGAAGGTGCATGAGGTTTGCAGGGTGGCTCCACCGCCTATCTCACCTGACTCCGCCGTCCCAACCTCTCTTCCTCTTATATTCTTCGACCTCTTCTGGGTGAAATGCCCTCCCGTTCAGCGCATATTCTTCTTCGAAGCCTCCCATCCAACTACTACATTTTTGGACTCTGTTCTTCCTAAATTGAAGCATTCCCTCTCCCTCACACTCCAACACTACCTTGTGCTCGCTGGAAATCTGACATGGCCCCCAAATTCCTATAAACCAATCATCCAATACATCTGTTAGTATATTATTCTATGTTAGTGTATATCAGCTGTTAGTAGGGTATATTTCTTTTCCTTTTACTTTATTTTATTAGTGCCACTTTCGGCTCCTCTCCTATATAGAGGAGTTCAACTGAACCTTTGTAACATCTATCAAAAACATTCAATACAACATTTCAATACATAATTCTTTCTCTATACATAAAACTTTCATGGTATCAGAGCTATAGGTTAAAGATCTTGGTGTTCTTCGCCTTCCGGCGGGCGGCAACCTTGCCTTGACCGCCCGCCGGAGCTCAACCAATTCAAACCTCCCTCTCCCTCTCGGCACCTCACTGAAACACACCACCATTGCCATCACTCGATGTATACACACACGGTTTTGAGGGAAGATCCATACACATGCACTCTCTCAACCATGCAAGACACGGTCTCTCTCTCTCTCTCTACTCTCTCTCTCGATGTGCATGGGGAGAGGGCCTTGCACACACAACCCACACACAGCAGACTCATGCACACTGCTCTCTGAACCTTAGCAAGATCACCACCAGGAACCACAGTGCGTTGACATCCTTGGGCACCACATCACCTCTGTACATCAAACAGCAACCCAAAACTTCCCACGATCGGAGGTCCTCGCCGTCTTTTGGATGTAATGGTGATGAGTTTTGGGTTCGGCTCTCGGCAGAGAGCAGATTCAAAAGGGAGAGTGAGTGAGTGAAAAATGTGAGGGGAAGAGAGGTTCTTGATCTGAGCTACAAACACACAGATACAACACATGCATCATTCCATGCACACTCTTCTGGGTTTAATGTGCCTCTAACTTCCCAGTTGGAGTCCCATCCAAGGGTATTCTGAATCGACCAACCCTAGCATCAGGCAAGACGTCTTTGCTGGCGGAGGATCGGAGGTTCTGGAGGCGGAGTTTCTCAAGGATGGTGGTGTCGGCGTGGTGCTCGCAACAGTCGGCGATGACAGCCGTTACTCTCCCATCTTCGTCTTTCTCTTCATTTGCATTTATAAAGTGGAACGTCACGTACAGTGGTACTTCCACGCTCGCCACAATCTTTTCCACTGCCTTGGCTATTTGACAACATACTTTACTCTCTCTCCCTTTACAACCACTCTTTTCCTTTCTTTTTATTTTTTATTATCCACCCACTCTTCTTTTATTTAAACATACAGCTTTGATTTTTTTTTTTTATTATCCACCCACACTTCTTTTATATTTTATTATCCACATCTCTTGCACAGCCCATCCTCCTCTTCTCTCTCGGGGGATACACAGCATGATTTTAAAGAATAAAAAATCCCACTACCCAAAAGCAGCTCCTCAAACATGGCTTTAACAACAATATTAGATGCCCAACAGACCATCCTCCTCTTCTCTCTCGGGGGGATACACAGCATGATTTTAAAGAATAAAAAAAAATCCCACTACCCAAAAGCAGCTCCTCAAACATGGCTTTAACAACAATCTTAGATGCCCAACATGTGTAGTGGCGGGCCCCATCTCCAATCAAACCACTATGCAAAACCCATTGCTGGTAGTGTGCAAAAAGAAAACTCAAACTATGGGCTGGTGTTTTTGACCAAAACCGTGGACCCACAAGTGTATGCCTCCACCCATAGAAACAGATTTTCTCTCTCCCTTTAAACCCTCTCTTTTCCTTTTTTTTTTTATTTTAATATTGTCCACTCACTCTTCTTTTATTTAAACATAAAACCACTCTTATCTTCTTTTTTTTTTTTTTTATTCCATTCTCCCAACACACCCAGCCTCCTCTGATTTTTACTTTCTTTCTTATATATATATATATTATCCTACCACACCAGGCCTCAGAAACCACTCTGATTTTTCACGGCCCTTGACGGTGCTGCCTCCGTGTTTCCCACTCCACTGGGCACAATCACTCCTCCCTGCTCCTCCACTGCAGCATATGGCGGCCCTCCAAATCGGAACATCACGGTGGCCTTCCGCTTCAGCTCCTTGTTTTCTGCCTTTAGCACACTTATCTCTGCTCGCGCATCCTTATACATGCGTTGGAGCAGAGCCAGCTGGGAGTTTAATTGCTGCACCTCATTTGTCCTACTCTGCAGCCGGTGCGACAGGTTTGTGACCGCCGTCATGGACTCCACACATGCCTTCAACGTATACTGATTAGCCTCCACATCCGTTTGCACTGCCATTTTTTGCTCCACCGACTGCATCGGAAAGTTCAACGGAGCAAACCCAGTGGTGTTTGGTTGAGGTTCACGGGACACCGCACCCGTTATCTCTCTTGTTGACTCGTTGAGGTCGGGAAAGAGAGTCAGCAGACCACGGGACGACGAAGCCATTTTCTCTCGCAACAGAGTGTTACAGACTCTCTCTCTCAGCACAACAGTGTTACAGCCTCTCTCTCTCAGCACAACGAAGAGTTTTACAGAGGATTTCGCAGGTTTCTTGCTTCTGCCTCGGCCTCAGGCTCTGTCTTGGTTAAATAGCCGAGGCAGCCACGCGCATCGTGCGCCTCTTGACGCCAGACAAACGGGCACGCCAGCCAAGGCACTCACGTGCCTCGCCATCATTTTGGCACGCCTTTTGATGCATCGGGCACGCCTTTTGATGGCACGGCTTTTGACAGATTGGGCACACCTTTTGAGGGCACGACTTTTTGAGGGCTCGATATCTACATCCATGTATATTTTTTTGGGCAGCCTATATACACACTCATACAGTGTCTTCGACACCAGTCAGCTTTATCAATCCCTTTGTTTCAACCTCAAATAGGTTTCTACCTTCACACCTATTTGAGTTTGAGGGGGGGGTTATACACAGTATCATGTATAAGTTGCTCATGGCGCACTCCCTAAGTCGCCCCCTTGGTGCACCACCACAATTTACTACATCGGTCCGACATGACCCCATAAACTGTCCCGACATTGATTCCGGTCAGCTTCTACCACAATTTACTACATCGGTCCGACATGACCCCATAAACTGTCCCGACATTGATTCCGGTCAGCTTCTACATCGGTCCGACATGACCCCGTAAACTGTCTTCTACAACGGTCCGACATGACCCCGTAAACTGTCTAATATACACCACTGATTTAAAAGTCCAAGTAAATTTATGATAACTTTTATGAGCTTATAGAATTTCTCTCTTTTAATGTTTTGTTTAGTTTGATTCAAGTTATTTATGTTATTAAGTGATTATGATACTATTATTCTCAATAGTTTTTATAATTAATAATTTCTTATGCATATCAAATTTTATCGTAAAATTTTGTGGGTTAATTGTTGTTAACATCTATTCAGATATCTTAATATCATGGTTTGTCGCTATTAAGATATAATTTAAGATTAAGATGATTTATTTATCACACAAAATATAAATAATCTATTTTTCCGTGTATCGCACGAGTTACCGCTAGTTTATCCATAAATAAATGTGTAATTCGAGAAAAATCACGATTGGAAAAAGTAGGAAATTAAAAACACAAAAAAAGAAAGGAAGAAAAGAAAATGCAAAATGTCTGGATACGCGTCTAGGAGTTCAACTGAACCTTTGTAACATCTATCAAAAACATTCAATACAACATTTCAATACATAATTCTTTCTCTATACATAAAACTTTCACTCATCAATTATCTTCTACCCAATTTCTCTATCGAGAAATCGTTGAAACAAACAAACATGGCTCAGAGGACGGAGAAAGAGGAGACGGAATTCAAGGCCGTCCCCGAAACCACAACCCTGTGCGTCAACAACTGCGGCGTCACCGGCAATCCGGCCACCAACAACATGTGTCACAACTGCTTCACAGCCTCCTCCTCCTCCACCTCGATCATGACGCCTCCTTACAAATTCTCCGCCAAGAGTCATAGATCGCGTTTACCGGAGACCTCCAATACGGGACGGAACTCCACCTCTCAGGATCGGGGATTTCAGACACTGGCCAAGAGAGAGCTGAATCGCTGCTCCGGCTGCCGGAGAAAGGTAGGGCTCACCGGATTTCGGTGCCGGTGCGGCGAGCTTTTCTGCTCGGAGCACCGGTACTCGGATCGCCACGATTGTAGCTACGATTACAAAGCAGCCGCCCGCGACGCTATCGAAAGGGAGAATCCCGTGGTTAAGGCTGCCAAGATCATCAGAGTTTGAAAACTACAGATACTTACACATATTTATATGGATGAAATGAAATTCCAATGGAAATTTAGAGATCCAAGAGCCTCCGTCTCTTATTTGAATCTCTCATGGATGATGAGCTCTCTAGATAGAGAGGTGGTACAACACAAGACAGGAAGAGAGATTTGTTGAGTCGTGAAGATAATTAAGATGATGATGATGATGACGATGAAATTTTTGGTGTGTCGTTGAATTGAATCTATATCTTTGATTGTCTCTCCTGTTTTGTTCTTCTTTATTTTGAATCACTCAGAGTTTAGTTGATCATTATATTTGCATTTGGTTCTTCAATTTTTTTATTTTTTATTTATTTTTTCGTGGTGACTGTTTGGATACTAAGAAAATGACAAAAATTAAAATTTGATTTTTATGTTTGATCGCTTTTTCGTAAGAAATGAAACGTGAAATTCATCTAAATCAATTATTTTTTTTCGTAGATGTGATTTAGGTGATGTCTCTAAAGCAATTATGGAGAAAAAAAAATTGAGTATTGATTGACCATTATTTTTTTTATAAATATAACTACTTTTTTTTTATTTTAAATATAACTACTTAGGTGTCATTTGTTTTTTTTTAATTTATAAAAAATATATTTAGGCAAGTTTGAGAAGTTTAAAATAATCTATCTTTTTATTTTTTAATTTTTTTCTTATCACGTCACCTCTCTACTTTTCTGCACATTTTTTTTCGTAAAAAGATAAAAATTACACTTAGGTCATCCCAAATAACCTCTTAATACGCTTGAATTACATGGTTTAAAAACAAGGGTAATGGGTGGTCCGCAATAGGTTGTGGTTAGTGATGGGAGATGGTGGTCAGAAGTGATTATTAACTATTGAAAGTGATGGTCAAAATTGATTGTTACTGGTGGGAGGTGGTTGGCAATGGCCACAAGTGGTTACTAGCTGCATGAAGAAATGATCAAAAGTAGTTGCGAATAATTAAAGATAGTAATTGATCGACCACTTGAAGTGGTAACGGAATGTGATTTTTGAAAAGAGATGATGATGAAAGATAGTTACTGTCTATGTGACGTGGTTGGATGAAGCAGAAGGTGATTGTCTGCTAAGGACACTGGTGGCCAGAAGTGATTTTTGAACGAGTTCATGGACAATGGTGGCTATTGGTTGTGATGAGCAGTAAGTACTTGTTGAAATGGGTAGAAAAAATAGAAAAATAAAAAAGTAAAAAATATATTTTTTAAAATAAGTGAAATCAATTTATTTGTGATTATGCTTACAATTTTTTGAAAATGAAAACGGTTACATTTTACGTACAATTTTTAAAAATGCAATAAATATAAGAGTAATGATTCATCCCCCTTTTCTCCCAATCCCCTTTGACCCCCTCTCTCTCTCATTGGTTACCTTTTCTTTTTCTTTTTCTTTTTTTTCCTGCTCCACCAATCACCCCTGCCACGTGGCAAAGGGCGTGAGGGGGTGACCCCCAAAAGGGGGTCCCAAGCATTATTCTAAATATAAATAGAAAATTATAAATATAAACGTTACCAAACAAACTCTTAATGTGTGTGTGTTTCAATTTTTTATTTGTCGGGATGTGAGACCCCTAAATTTTTGTAAATCCTAGTAAGACCCTTACTTTTGAATTATTATAATAAAAACTCATAGCTCCCCGTTAATTCATAGAATTAACCCTAGAACTAAAAACGTATCACGGATGAACTCATACAAACCCTGATTGAACTTGGAACTTAGGAATCATTTCTAATACCCTAATACTAATTAATTGACTCCCTGAATACGGAATTATCACTTAAAAACCCTAGGTTTTTCCAGTCTTTATCACATTCGTCAGTTGATCGCCTTTTTATTCTAAATAAGAAATCCAAACCGAATTAGACTCTCTAATTCTAATTTAATTTAATTCTATACTAAAATAAATGTTCCAACTCATAAATTAAACCCAAAGCCGTCACTTTTTTATTAAATTACAAATTGACTCCAAACAAGTACCATTATATATTTATATATACACTTGTACTCTAAATTTTTTTTAAACATTATATTTTACAAATTCCAACAATTGTACACAAAAAAATATAAAAAAGTCCCTCAAATCTACCTCACATGGCCAGCCATCACCTTGAAAATATGATGAATGTACTTTTTGAAATAAGTTTGCATAAATTATGGGAAATATCTTTGACTTGGTACAAACTTAAATATATATATATATAAAACAAGGTTGGTTTGATTAGGAGGAAAACCCTAACTATATCATGTTTAGGAACCTAATTAAGGTCTCTAAACTTCCACTATTCCATTAGATTCAAACTAAATCCAAAACATTCCATTCAATTCCAACCAAAGGGCATTTTGGACCTTTCACACCATTTTTTTTCTACAAAAGCAACCCCTCTCTTAGCATTTTACATACAAGAATACACACACACACACACACACTATATTCAGCTGAGAGAAGAGAGGGGAAAGGGTGAGCTTGGTGGAAGATAGGAGAGGAAGAGAAGTTTGCTAGCAATTCTAACAAGCCTCAAGTAAGCCACAACACAACTCTCTTTTATTTTTCCTTTCAAATACATGCTCTTAGAATTTTTAAACATTCATTTCAGATGTGTTTTGATGGTAATTTTGTTGTTAAAAATGAAAGGAGTTGAGCCTTGATTCCACCATTCTTGTATTTCTCTTAATCGATATAAGACTACATTTTTCTATATCAATCTCTCAAAATTTCCAAAGGCACACATTCACCTTAAATTTCTGAGTTTAATACATATTATTTAACATGTTTTCATTACAAGAGAAGTGAAAATTTTTTCCTAGTTGACCTCTTTTCTCACCAACTTTCTTATTGCAAGAACTGTGCCAAAAAAATTTGTTTTACAGCTAACTTTCAAAAATTCTAGAAAAATGTATAAATATCTTCTAGACCTAAATTTTATGTTCAACTCTTCCTTAAGGAGTTAGATTTCAAGGAAAATTTGTTTCATTGAAAAAGAGTGAGTAGTTTGTGAGAAAATCCGATTTTCGTAACAGTCGATGAATTTGGATAGAGTTGGAGTATTTTTTAAATATCTAAAAATTGGGAAAAGCTATTCCATTTCTGAAAAATGTTCTGAAAACTAGATAAAATTCAATACGAACCATAGGAAGGCCAGATTTGGAAAAAATCTTAAATAGTCCTTTTAATCTTGATCTTTAAGTGACTCTAAATCTAGAAATTCTGTTTAAATTGATATTTTGCGCTCTTGATTTTATAAATATGCTTACTTATATATAATCATTTATTGGTATGATATTATACGTGTCATGGTTATGTATTGTTTTTCCTTGATGATGGTTATATCTATGAAAATTTATTTCAATTGCTTGTGCCAACTAACTTAAGACATGTAACTCAATGGGAAACTTAATTGGGGTGGTATTGGGTTTTCGATCACTTGAATAATGAAGAGATGATAATGTGTTATGGATTGATGGGATGTGTTCCCTAATTAAAGGAAAATCTTGCGCAAGTGGTTGTATCAAAACCCTTGAATGGATCGATTGTATTCGGATCCTAGGTGCTTATGGTGGATAAGGTTGGAGGAGGTTATGGGCAAGGCCCTTATTTTATCATCTCTTTTGAGGTCCTCGGTTGGTGCTACATGGTATATAACCGTTGGTAGGCATCCGGGGTAAGGCCTACAAAGCAGTAAAAGATGGGGCATACCGAATAATCCAAGTCCAGTTCTTGTGGTTGGTAGGATGAAGTTTCTTTGGAGAATTTCTAGAATACTAACCACTAACATTGTAGCATTTGTTATCTATTTGAATGCCATGTTCTTTTCCTCTATTATTGAAATTGATGTTATTGACTTGAATATTATGCTTCACTACTTGCTTGTTATAAATATATTAGTATATTGAATTGGTAAAAAGGGATGGGGTGTGTGTGCGTTTACTGGGCATTCAAAGCTCATGGCGTTTCATGCTAGGTATTGAAGACTATTAGACCAGTCAAAGGCAAAGCTGAAGTATTTGAGGGCGTACAACTACCCTAGGAGGGTTAGAAACTAGTTTGTAAACATGTTGTGAGATTATAAGTGATAGATCCCATGTTGTATTTAAGACTTGATTTTGTAATTATTATATATCTATATATATCTTTTATACTATCTATTCCTTATTTTCCGTCAACTCATGTAGACCTTGTGTTAATACCTTAATAAGACCTGTCAAAAGAGTAGCTTTGCTATCTAAGGAGATTGGACTTTAAAGGAAGGATAGTTTGACTTCTCCGATCTTTCATGGGATCTTGTTTGGTTATTGATCAAATGACTCTTTAGTGACGTTTCATATTTTATAATCTTAGATAAATCCTGTATTTATTTGTTATTATATTCTCTGATGTTCCCAATTTTCGGGACGTCACATAGGAGCACCATAACTTTATTAAATAAATTTTGATTGGCCCATTTAAGATGCCAAAGTTGGACTAAAATAGCTAATACAGACAAAAAAAAAAAAAAGACTAAAATAATCAATAAGACAAAATGTTATATCTAAATTATAATCATTTCATTTTTTCTCTCACAACAATCAAATTAACTATATATAAAATAATAATAAAAAAATTATCATCCCAAACACAATTTTTTTAGCCAGGCTAAATATCCAAATAGCCAAAAAGCAAACTAAAATAGCCAAGTTCCCAAACGAGGCCTTTGTATAGAGAAAATTATCTTAATGTATGTTGTGATTTTTTAATTATTAAAAGTATTAAATGAAATATCTCATACACAATTTCATATGATAGGGATCAAGAACCAAAAAGGAGGGATGATGAAGGCGTCTCCTCCTCCCAGAGAAAGGCAACAACACCTCCATCCACTCCTCAAGCTCAACCATCACTGGCGCAAGAAGGTAATCTCTCTTCATCAACTTTTAGCCAACCCTCTACCGAAGAATTTGACCTTCTAGAACGACACTTTTGCAAAGTTCCTCACCAATCGAAATCCTTCTCATTCTATGAAGCTCTTACCTATGGCCATCTTAGCTGGCCTACCGATCCATCGCTCCAACCACCTATTTCCTCAATACACATCCATCTACCTCCTAAAAACCCTCATTCCCACTTCATCTCCTCTATTCACCTCTTCTCAAATGACTTCACCCAGATGTGCCAACCTTGGGCTTAATTCATCATCATTCGCATAGTTGGAAGAAAATTTGGCTACCAACTTCTCATGGATAGACTCAAATCCCTTTGGAAATCCTCTGAGGTGCTTCATGGTATCGACTAGGCATCATCAGACTTCTCTAAAGTCCTCG